GTCTTTTCCTATGCCATGGATGATCTTGCAGCTCGTCCTAAAACCAGCTTCCAGTTTGCTGGGGGGATCCGGTGGCTAGGTTGATAACCCTACAGCACAACTAACAGCTATTTCAGTGTAACTGGTCTATCTTCATGGCGATGTCACATTTATGATTAAACAAGTAACAACTGCACACCGACTGCGAGGCAAAATGTATAAAGTAGTCAATGCTTCAAAAGATTCAGGTTAAATTAAAAAAATAACAATAATACCCTCAAAAAGATACAGTGTACTCTCAGTGGCCCCTTTGATTAAATACTCGTGTACAATCTATTGCAATACAATTCATAGTTCAGCTGCATCTCACATTGTTAATCATTACACCATATCTTAAGCAGATTTTGCTTCGTAATACATTTTTTAAAAATACATGTCTGTGACATACAGGATGAATGAGCTCCGGTAATCCGACAAGTCCCACACAACACTCAGTCACCAGAAATGCCCAGCATCCGTGCAAAATCCTTTTGAAGGTCAAGAAAATAGTTGAGATGCTTCAGCTGTTGCTGTGCAGCCACAAAAAGACACCCCGAATGTTTTTCCTTTCATGTATTTTTGTAGGCCTACTTGATATATTCACAAATATGTTGATTGAGTTTTTCCACATGACGTTAAAAACACTTTGCAATGAACATAAAGGCACATTTAAACAAAACACTTAATTGCACTTTGAAAATAATGGAATGAAAGCATTTTTGTTGTTTTTGCTGACAATGTACTAACATCACATCTTGGTGGATAAAACCAATCTCCTCTACTATATAGTTTATCCATAGCCAGACAATGTGACGATCCATCAGCTCAACTTTCCTTGCTTTGTCTAATTATGGTTTTCCATGACAAGAGCATTTTTATGTTTAGTTTTAGTTTCAAGTCAACTGAATTCAACCATCTTCTTATTTGTATTATTAAGTTTACCATTTACTGGGAAGCATCCAAGAAACACAACACAATAGTGGAAGCTCCTCTTTTGCGGTAATGGATAATTATTATTATCTTCTTCCAAAACTCCTGTATGGTTGCGCATTCCCAAATCAATGAAACTGCGGCCCTCATGTATGGGTGTGTTAGGGTTGATATGATGTGGTATAACTGGTGTAATGTATAGTCTCATTATCCATTTATACTGAAACAACTTCAACTGAGTGTTTGTAGTTTGGACTTCAGATTGTCGAAACACAAAGCCAGCCTTTTATCCTCTAAAGATTATTTTGCTGCGGGTATAATCATTTCAAAACAATAAGGAGATTTGACCTGCTGGTTGTATCGGATGCATTATTGACTTGTACTTCTTTACATGTATGTAGTACTAATTGAGTTTTCATTGTGTGCAAACTTTGCAAAAAATGTTTATCACCTTGAGCGGAATGTCTGCTTTGGAGTTAATGTGCACTGCAGTCTGCATTCTTGGACTACATGATGTGCATAAAAATTAAATTCTTCTATCTATGAAAGAATATTCACAGAGCATTGCTCATTATGATGTGGTTAGTGGAAGATCACCCTGCTGTCCATGGGAGATGGGATGTGATGAGAGCGTATGAAGGATTTATTGATGCCACTCACGCTGCACACATTAAAAATATTGCCTACAGTCAGAGCATTATATTCAGTCCAGAGCTGTTTTTTTTTAATCATATCTGCAAGGCATATCACAGAAAATGATGGCTGTGTGCAAGCAATCAGTGCCACTTAATTTGTTAACCCAACGGACAAGATTATTGTGTGCGTTGTTCATATGCACTGCTATAACGGATTTGCACAAATCACGAATTGATTGGAGAAAAAAAACACAAAAAAAACATGCGCTGGATAAATGGGTAAAAAAGTTGTAGACTAATAGTGTGCAGAAAATGAGATTTTAAATTGCCTGCATGCGTGCTCCATAGATTCATGTGGGTGAAGTACTTCAAGTACCACTAAGTGATTTAAAGTTGATTGGAACTGTCCCTGCTGTGATAAATGATGCTGGCAATGAATTGATCTTAGTCCTGGGATCAAAATGCATGCAACGCTGGGTGCAGACAAAAGTTGGGCGTCATACTATAATCCCCTACAGACTGTGCATCCATCTTATAAAGTGTAATTGTGATTGGTTGCCATGTGCAGCGTTGTCCCATCAATCATGATCGGGTCAGGTGTTCGAGGCTGCAGAGTGTGAACCTGATATGGTCTCCCGGGGTGTTAATGTGAAATTTGCGATGCTCTGGTGGAATTCGGGCATACCAAGCACAGCAAGAACCCCCTTTACCCATTTGAGCGACTGTCATTGCATGTGCACCATGGACTGTCTTGATGTGACCTCACAGCCTGAGCTGACAACTGTGTTTGTTTGTGATGTACCATTTCCCCTTTCTTAAATATGCTCCTGGACATTTTTTTGTAGCAGAGTCCAGAATTGGAATAAATGGATTCACCTGAGTCGCTCATCTCACGCTGAAGTATAAGAGTTCTTAGTTTACTTCAGCCATGAATATGTTGAGATTGTTGCTCTGTGACCGGAGTTTGTCACATCAACATGACCCTCTTTATATTTGTGTTCCCACAGTGACCCATTCTGTTGTGGTGATCCTCAGCAACCTCTCCAGTGACTTCATATTCAATCTATCACCTTACATCAGTCAGCCAGTGGAGCATGAGGAACACAGGTTTGGAGGCCTACAACTTTAAACTGAAGCTCTGAAACTGAAGCTGACGATTTTGCCGAGGCATCACTCATCCATATGCGACATCATTAGAAAGAGTTCAACACACACTAAAGCAAACCATTCAGACATGATGATGTGTGCTGTCATAATGATGACTCTTTACATGTAGCACATTTGAAAAGTAGACGCACAAACATTTCTGTTTTGAGTGAGTAGTCCAACTCCCACTTTAAGGAAATATTTTAAGAACAATGTTGGAGCAGATGGTGCAGATGCTGGTGTGCAAATAACTGGAGATTATTTTCATATTGCAGCATTAAACATTATCATAATTTACATTTCATTATAAATTCAAGAAATGCATAAAAGAGGAACCCCGCAAAGGCTACTACTATCACTGTTGGCATTCGCTGTAGATTAAGTCACAAGTTTTAAGATTTTTCAATATTGGTGCCCTTCAGCGGGAAAGGATCAAAAAAGATACTGTGGCAGACAGCGAGACACGCAGCCAGTCCCACCATGGATCAGAGCCGGGGACACTGAGATCAATGAGCTGAAAAAAACCAACATTTTTTTTACCAGGATTATCTCATTATTCTAGAAACGAAAAAACGTTCCCAATTAGCTGCACTAGTCAATATCTCTTTATTAAAAATGGATCAAATAACTTTGTGTAGTGATAAAACACAGAGATTCTTGTCAGGAGTGTTTCAATGTCTTTCATCTAATTGTTTTGGTTTTACGGCATATAACTTTGATGTTTTGAATCCATCACACTGCTCTTCATTAACCTAATTTCAAGCCACATAAGGCAGCTGTTTTTGATTAAAACGCTGATAAAGTCACTTTCTGTCAGCTTAAAACAGTAGACAAACAAAGTTAGCTACTGGCATTCAGCAGCTAAAGAACCAGCAATTTTTCACAGGGGTTTGTGGAGGCCATTAAAAAGAAACTAAAGAGAGTGAATATTGGACTTACATCAAGTGAATGCTGATGTTGCTCTGTGTCTGCTGGATGTGTCATTTTCGCAGCTGCTTGCCAACTTTCTCTCACAACAATTTAATACGGTAACAATATGGCAGATGTGTTTGTCAAGTCAACGTAGAAGTGCCAAAAACTGCAGTTCCTCAAGTGGCCATTTGAGGCTGGCTGCAATAGCGAGTCAATCCCCCATAGACTCCCATGTTAAAATGCCGTACTTTAGACCAGAAATATAGACTTTTACAGCCCGGAGCAAAAAACGATTTTGATCTATAATTTCCCCGTTCATCAACTGGTGTGAAGAATTTTTATGTAACCAGTTTATATAATATTAAGGTGAGAGCGTGAGTGATGGATGGTGCCATCTCAGGTCCATCGCCACTGTCTCCCCAGCCGCCTCATCGCCACCGACAATCCGCCACTTTGCCCATTTTTTAGAGATAAGCTGTGTTGTCACTGCCAAGATGGTTATTGCAGGGGCCGACCCACCATGAGCTTCACAACAGCTCAGAAACCTATGGGTGACGTTACGGAGACTATGTCCGTAACAGCAAGTGTGTTTGTATGAAGCAGGCTATAATCAAAACTTGATACACAACCACTGGGGGCGGCGACTGTGCCTTAAACTGCTACTCTATCAGAAATGCCAGAGAAAAAGAGCAACAGCTGTATCAGCTCACAGCGCAGGTATACACACATTGTGATAACAGGATTCATTTTACCGAATTAATTTGATAAAGAAGACAGTCGATGGTAAAAGAAAAAGCTTACTCTTACAAATTGCTGACACCAGCTTTTGCCCTCTTCATGACGTCTATCCCTTGTTATCTGAATCTTATGAGGGAAAAGCAGACTCTGCTACTAACAACGGAAGTTACTGGATACAGCGGCCTTACAGAATGCAAATATACTCAATAGCTGTTGCTGAACACAGGCCGGCCATAAATAGTATCAAACGGGTATGATATGTGAAAATGTTTAGAATAAACAAAAAATCTGTTACATAATATCATATGACAATTTTGCACACATGTACCGTAGCTTTATAAGTTCTGATTTAAAACGAATAAATGTACAGTTTAAACTAGGAAGCGGTGCGATCTAGAATATTTTACACGGGCTGAAAAAAAATATCTTAAGCTCAAGAGGATGATGATGAATACTAACTGAGTTCACCTTTTCATCTATCACATCATGACTGGTTGCATGCTCAGAAACATTTTCCTGAGCTCCCCTTCACATCTTTCTCATTACCTGCTGGAGTGCAAGTCAAACAGTGAAAATCTTTTGCACCTTGCAAATGCTTATTTGAATGCAAAGCTGAATGCTAAAAGTGTACTCCGCCGCTCAGTGCCTGAAATAATTACCCTGTGCCAGATCACTTTTGATTTCCTCATTTTAGCTATTCCTTGCTATTCACATGCTCAGTTATACAGGCAATGATGCACCTTTTCTGAGAACAGAAATAATGATATAGCATTCAATTTTCCCATAAAGTTGGGTATTTTTGGTTCTTAAAATGGCACCTATAAGCCGCACTTTCTGGAAACGTGTCTTTTTAAAGCATATTGCTTGATAGCTGAAGAGCAACCATCAACTTTTAATTAAAAAGACGAGATAAACTATGATGTATATTTTAGACCTAATTAGCATGCCGACTCAGGGGAGTGAAGTGATTAGATGAGTAAAGACTCCCCATGGATGCTGCAGACGAGCAAACATACAAATGCACACACACGCGCATTGCATTCTGAGGGCATTTGCAGTAGGACTAGGCCTAGCAGCACTTAAATTAATATTTCACTAAGGTGTGACATTTTCATCTTCCAGCAAGTGTTGCTCAGCTTTCTCTATCAATAATTGGAGTCAGGCATGATTATCCATTGAAAGATTTAGAGAGAAAAACATACACACACTGTCGATAACAAAAGTTACATAGTGACATTTAATGTGAAAAATTACAATTTAAGTTAGAGTGGTATAGCTTTCGGTAAGGTGGTCACAAAAGAGGTACGTTAACCATTTTCCAGGCAGAGAACATTGCATACAATAGTGACTTCAAGCACAGGCACACCTCGTGTTGGAATAGCTGTAATGGAGTTTGCAGTTATAATGCTGTACCCATGGCTAACATGAAAAGTCTGAGGTCATGTGCGAAGTCAAGAAAACAACATTAGTAGACCGGGAACACTGCTGTCAATAACCAGCTGAACTCAGTAAGAGAAATTTCATCATCAGACATTCGTCATTCTGCAAACACATTCCCTATCTTCAGGTAATCATCTATCTCACCTTGATGTGTTTCTATCTTACTGTGTCGTACACTCCAGTGTATTATTTCAGTTGGTGAGCTTACATAACCGCTTTGAATCTTTTGAACAGTGCTTGGACTGTCTGTAGCCGAGGATTATCTCTCAGCTCTTCTCTTGCAGGCGGAGAAGAGCCTGTGATGTTGTCTGCTTACATTACCTATCAGGTTTCTGAGCACCTAATGTCTTAAAAAGAATTTCAACAGCAGCTTAAGATATAGTTTTTCTGGTTCTGGAAGTCAGACACTGGCTCCATTTTAACACCTGGTTAACCGAGCTCACTGGTCTATTACATATTAAGGAAGTTTGATACGGCATGATGGATAATCTTAATACATTTTTGGATACATGACAGACATTTCTGGATCACCTTACTCAGTCCTAACTTGACCAGTAACAAACAACGTATAATTGTTATTGTTATAGTCCACCTCTCTCATTGAGTGTTTGGGCAAAGAAGTGCTAGTAATGCAGCAGTTTATTTCCTTATTTATTTGAACTGTGCTTTGTTTCTTATCTGTCCTTTTTGTTTCTACTTTGTCTGTTTTTGCCTTTTCATGTGCTGTGGAAAATCCCCAAACAATATTATTAAATTATTAAAATTCTCTTCTGCTATAGCACGCAAAGTTGCAGCAAGAACCCATTTCCAAGAACCGTAAAATGTCTGACAAAAACTCAGAGCATTCAAATATATTTAACCAGAATCTCAGTTTTGTAAAAGAGAATAATGAATGATTTCCTTATTGATTATGATTATAATAATTAGTTATATTATACATCATAGTACCTCTTTTGTACAACGATTAAGAAAACAACAAGAACAATATTTAATCTGTTATAGAAAATTAATGTAATTTCACTTAAATAAATCTTTACAAAGAGTGCTGAGAACTAAATATCTTTGATAAAAGAAGCTCTGGTGATTTCTCTTTAAGAGCCATGCAGTGGAAGAGAAACAACAACTAACAAATATTCAACAAACATTCAGAGCAGTTTACATTTTCATGAAGAGAAATATCAGTTCAGGTCAACAAAGATCATCATGAGCAGTGATAGCCTCCATGGCTAAACAGACACAGAAAGGAGCTCCACCTAAAGAAACTCAAACATTTACAGAACAACAATGAGAAGAAGTCAAAGTACCGCCCATGATGTTTGATTGACAGGTGAAGAAAAATCAGCTCTCAGCGACAATTATGGACACAAAATTAGTTTAAAAATGAAAACACAGAAATGTATTTGCCGTTCCTTAAATCACTTCTGACTATTTGAGTTTAGAGAACTCAGCAGTGTCTGCAAAACAATAAAAGCAAAGTCCAGCATAGAGAGGCTGAGTGAATGTGGTCTGGACTCTGTGGAGGAGAGTCATGGTTTCAGAGACGCTGTAGAAACACAGAATACCTGCACTGTGATCCAGGTACACTCCTACTCTGGAGGACTGAGGACCAGAGACGGGAGTTTTGATATCGTTGTACCAAAATGTAAAACTGTTTTTCTCACAACGTAACGCCCAAGAGTTGTCACTCAATCCAAATCTACATCTCCCTGATTTGCTGATATTCTTGTATGCGACTGCTACATGAACTCGTCGTCCGCTCCACTCCACCTCCCAGTAACAACGTCCAGTCAGACTCTCTCTACTCAGGACCTGACAATATCTCCTGAATCTGTCTGGGTGACTAGAATAAGACTGTGGTTCACTCATAACTGTTGCTTTTCTGTTCCCCTCAGATAATAACAGTTTTGTGTGTGCTGTGTTTGGATCCAGTGTGATTTCACTTGAATTTCTTAAGAATCCAGCTCTGGTCTTGGCCTCTGCTTGTGAATGTGACAGTAAAACGTCCACTTCGGTCACTGCCAGTGAGACGTTTGTCCACTTCTCTCTCAGAACGTCCTGTAGTTTATCTCTGACTGCTGACACAGCCGCCGTCACGTCCTCAAAGTAGCTCAGAGGACGGATATCGATGCCGGACGAGTCTGTAGACAGTGAGGGGTAGTTGTGTAGAAACTGGTTGTGATCCTCTGTGTGTGAGAGCAGCTTCAGCTCAGCGTCTTTCCTCTTCAGCTCAGAGATCTCCTGCTCCAGCTTCTCCTGAAGCTCTTTCACTCGACTCACTTCACTTTTCTGCTGGGATCTGACCTGCTGCTTCACATCGGAGCTTCTTTTCTCCATGACACGGATCAGCTCGGTGAAGATCTTCTCGCTGTCCTTCACCGCTTCATCGGCAGAGCGATTGAATACCTCCACCTCCTGTTGAAGTAGCTTCACCTCTTTCTCTCTGTCCTGGATTCTCTGCTGGATGTTTAGTCGACTCACTTCCAGCTCTCTCTGCCTCTCAGTCCTTTCTGCTGCAGCTGAGACTGTGTCGTGGCCTTTGTGTTCAGCTTGTAGTCCGGTCTTCTTCAGCTCCTCCACTAAAACTGCTAACATGGTGTTTTTCAGCAGGACAGGCCTCGGGGTGAAGGTTTGCCTGCACTGAGGGCAGCTGTGGAGATTCTTCACATCCTCTTCATCCCAGTGGGTTTTAATACAGTTCATGCAGTAGCTGTGTCCACAGGGAGTAGTCACCGGATCCTTCAGTAGATCCAGACAGATGGAACAAGAGAAGGTTTCCCGATCCAGCTGAAGTCCTTTCTGCGCCATTTCATCTCTCAATAACAACTGTCTGAGTTTCACTTTACTAGAAGCGACTCTGCTTTGACTTCTGATCTGAACAACATGCGTTTGTTCAGTGAATGGAGCCTGTCAGCTCTGTCGCTTGACCACCATGTTGGTTACTCCCATCTTTAAAACTGTAGATCTGAAGGGGAGGGAACAGGGAAATATGTGGACAGAGTGGAGCAGGCTGTGTGTGAGAGCAGGAGGAAGAAGGAGGGGTCATCAAGCTGTGGTTCATTCCAGGAAGAGGAGCAGCGCTGTGAATGTGAATTTTATTTCCTCATTTACAAACGGAGCCTCGGATAAAACCTGCTCCACTTTTGAAAACATTTCATTTCTTCAGGTGTTATTTCTTGTCTTCTTAGAGGAAGAGTTATAGACAAACATGAAGACATCAAAAGCCTAATTCTGTTCAGTTTTCTTTTACTGCTTAAAAAAAAAGCTGGCTGACAAAAGAGTTATCAAATTAAATGATTATGAAACATTTAAATTGCAGTATAATACTTTCCGCTCATATTTAATGATTTCCTTTGAAACATTTGTCTCAAAAGAGTTGAGTTTCAAGATATCATCCTGATGCAAAGCAGCGTTTTATTTATTTATTATTTCATGACTGGGATGATATAATCTGCACATTTTCCATTTGCTGTTAATGTCAAAATATTCCACAATATTGTTGTAAAAGCTGAGTTACTCACTGGTTCAGTGACGACTGAGAAAACTCCTCCACCGACCATAAATGATTGTGTCTCGATGACTTAAAATGAGATGTTGCTACCTGCACACACAAACATTCGGTGATAAGACCTGCATTTACTTTGACAGTCTGTTATGTTACTAACACTGAAGCGCATTCACACACATTCCGTTTTTTGTACACTCAAAACATTCAAGGCTTAAGACCTGGCAAAATGACCCGCTATGCCATTGGTCGACACAGGAAATACCTTTTAACTTGTGCACGCAGTGTATGATGGTGTCACAGAAATGCATGGCCGCATCCACCAGAGACCTGCCAGTAGCCTCGACGTGCGTGAATATGCGAGGGCCCGATCAATGCTGCTTGCAGCTTTAATTTATAATGAATTTGTAAAATTATAATTTATAATGGCAACAGTGGATATTACGGTGTTAGAGGGTTAATGACAATGTCTGACTGATGTTCAGTAATGGATGTGTTTAGAACAGATTTGATTATTGCAATGTCGAACTGGATTAGCTGTTCCTGAGGCAGGTTGACATTCCTGAGCTGCACGCACATCCTCTATTGGGTCTTTTTCCTGATGGTGTCTATGTTCAAAGTCCACATTAAAGTCACATTAAAGTATGTCAAGAGAAATGTATTAATAGTACGTGACAAAAAGGTCATAGTATAGTAAGTTAAAAAAAGTCAAAGTATAGTGTGTCGAAAAAAGTCAGAGCATATTATGTAAAATAAAGTTATAGTACAGTCTGTTAAACAAAATGTATATTTTACGTCAATTAAAGTATGGTATGAAAAAAATAGTATGTGAGAAAAAAAGCCATTAATTACTTTTTTCCCCACTATAGTCAATTAACATAAATGCACCTACACTACTGCCTCTATTTATTGTGTGGTATTATTTATCATGTGTTCCCTTTATTCATTTCCCAAGTCATTTATTTCTAGATTATTTTATTTAATTCCTCTATGATGTATTTAATAATTGTCTCACTTTCACCCCTGGGCCTCTACTCTTTCACAGAACAATAATATTGTAAACAAAATATTGTTTGAGTCAATAACTTCAGCTTTATTAATGTAATATTAATAATAATAATATTAATTATGATTCCATTACAAAATCAAGTGTTGTTCTGCCATGTGCTGTGAGGCATGATATGCAGGTGATGTGGCACGATGTAAAGCTGATGCGACATTGCATGGTTAACATTTACTGAGAATAAATGGTGAGAATGAACAATAAAGGGATGACGGTTTTTTTCCGCAGTGTATAAAAGAACACAGCCTTCCTGTTTGGCTTTGAACAAATGTTTGTATATTTGCGTGGCTTTTGGACAAAAAATGAACATACTGTCACACCAACCTCCAGCAACATGACTGGAAATGGGCCCATGCAAATGAATGCTATCTGAGACAAAGTGTGATAAATGTGCTGTCAATAGAGATAGTGCTGTGCCACATCACAGTCCCCATCACAGCCCAACGGAGCCAAAAGAAATCTCAACGGCCCTCACAGGCAGCATCAAACATCATCTGAGGAGTGCATGAAATGCTGCCTCTCTGCAGCTTTGTGATAAACTGCATAATTTCTAGTATTTGCCTGTCGGGTTTTGACTAGATATTTCTCAAAGACTTCGCCTTGTACCTTTGTGGTCACGTTGATGTAACATCAACAAGAAGAGACCAACTTATTAAAATGCTTCTGTAGCTCTGCTCTAAACTCCCTTTTCTAAAGAATAAAGCACAAAGGCAGATGGCAGACTCCGAGATTATCAGTGAGATAATCTGTTTTCTGTTATGAATAGGCTTGTGATGGCTGACAATAACATACCTACAGCTCAAATGCTGCAATGTGCTTTTCATTTTTCATGCCAAATCAATCCCACTTAAGCACGAATAATGTCCCTTTTGCAGCCTCAGTCTGTGGAGGTCTAAAGAAATCGAGAAGGCACTACACGTGCCCATTTGAAGTTATTGGTTGCTATTCTCTTCTGTGCTATTCTCATCGTGCCAGTTATATGCTCTGTCAAAGCATTTATAACTACAGTCAGAACACTGGGTAAAAGTTGAACACGAAAGTGAGGCTGTAAACTGTGACAGATTGTTCAGAGATCACAAAAACCTAAAAGGTGAGGGTCACATAGCTGGTAATGCAATAGCATGTTTACTGTAATATTACCGTTATTGGCAGTATGGGATTACAATGTTATTTTTGCAGACTTCAATGCTTGAGGGTTTGACAAAAGCCAGGTTTCCATTGAAATGTTGCTATCACTGAAGATGTTGACCTACAGTCCTTGCAAAGGAAATGGTGTCAGCCCCACCAAAAGAGTAACAGCAGGTAAAACTCTAAGGTTGGGGAGTCTAAGTTTCTCTAGCCCCATCACTGTTTACCAGGGGACAACCTCCGGCTCTGAAAAGCGAAGGGGCCTTAAATGTGCATTCTCATTACTGGCCATCAGGGGGCGACTCAACTGGTCACAAAAAGAAGTCCAATTGTAAAAACAAAATGACCCTACTTCATGATTTATTACCTCAGTAAACATTGTTAATATGAGTTTACGGTCTCAATCACTAGTTTCAAGTCTTCTTCAGTCAGCATGATGTTCACTTAGTAAATTAATTTAGAGTAAAATAGAAATAAAGTGATTAACAGGTCGCTGCCACAGTGTTTGGTGTTTGGTGTTTTTGTGTTAGTACTTTAACCCTTTCACAGTATTTTCAATTGTAACAATTTGGTCGCCTAAAAATGTCTTATTCAGCGTTCACTAGTATTTAGCTCTACCCTCTCATGTCACTTCTGGTTCCCAAAAACAAAGATGGCGACAACCAAAATGCCAAACTTGAAGCTTCAAAACGGCAGTCCACGAACCAATGGGCTTGGGTAGTGGGTGAGTACATCTACTTCTGTCTATGCTGCTGACTGCTTTTGAAGAGACATTTTGGGTTTTAATTTATGTGGAAGTATTGGATTCAAACATTGGTTTTTAACAGAAGACATCTGTGGGATGCAACCTGCTGAATAACAGGTAAAATACATTGATGTTGAGCAGCTTTTGTGGCTAAACATGCACAAATAAGACAAAAAGAAACCATTATAATTGTCAATGGACTCGAAAATGGTGTAATTCATAAGTATATCACGTCTTGGTGCTCCTGTGCTATTTGTTAGTATTTAAATTAGGTAATATGGATATATTAAGCGCAAAATTGTCCCCTTTTATGAGCCTCATTGCAAAACTGGTATAAAGGACAGTGATGATTGTAGCTTGGCAAAGGCATCGTCATGCTCTACTCAAACTCATTCATTTTTGGAAGCAGCGACAGGATGCGATGACAGATGTCATAAATGCTAATGAATAAAGCTCCCCTACATGTCAGTTTTTAAATAAATGGGAAAAAAGATTTAAAAAATGAATGAAAAATAAGGTTATTATACAAACAAATAATATATATATATATATATATATATATATATATATATATATATATATATATATACATATATCTTGTAAAAGATATATGGGCTTGTTTGTGACGTTATTTCAGAAGCGCAATATCTTATAGCTAACTTAACTTCTCAGGTAATGGGACTATGTTCTGCCAAATGTAGAATACTGTAAAACCATCATGGTACATGACTGATGCAATGTGGACTTGCTGACAAAGGGTAACAAATGCTGTGTCATGTGAAATGCACTTGCAGAAGCTTGAAGCACAGAAGCTTTTCAACAAAAAGTTCGAAACAGCTTGTATGCTCCTCTAAAAAATGCCAAAATATGCAGAAAAATTGCAAAATCATTATAGTTTATTTTTCCTTACACAAAAAGTGTGGATTGCATGACTGCCTGTAGGAGAAAGATTATTGTTCATGGTGATGAACCCAGAGACTTATCACCTCAATATGAAGCTCCACTCAGCTCTAAGAAGCTTTACTGCAACTTTTAGTTCATTGTTTTGGTTTTCTGGCACATTGCTTTACTATTTTGGTTCACTCTCACAGCCCCCACAGGGGGTTTCCAGCAGCAGCAGTCAGCAAAATGGTCCAAAGTTAAAGAAAAAAAATAGACAAAGCAAAAAGCAAAGTTAGCTACTAGTTGGTGAACATAGAGAAGCAGTTAAAGCACCAAAACTCACAGGAATCAGTCAATTTCTAACATTCGCTTGGTGTCCAGAAACAGATTTCAAATGAATGCTAATACAGCTCAATATCAATATTTTTTTTTTTACAGGTTTAAGTTTCATTTCAGCACATCTTGCGAGGGGGGAGACATGACGGTGCTCAACGGCAGAAATGTATTTGAGTTTAGTAGTTAAATTGGCCGTACAGTCGCCGAGTAGTGAGTATGAGACTGCTGCTTTTACATGAAGGGACGTTCTTGTTAATCCATTTAGGTTTTGTAGGCTATTTCAACCCAAAAGTCACTGCCTGAGAAAGCAGAACACTATTTCGAGTCTGACCCCAGTAAATTATTTCCCCATCACTTCTTTTATCATTTTTCTTTCTTACTGTAGTTGCTGAACATTGTCTGTAGTGGCACTTCTTGACCCGTGAAGGGAAATAAATGTAAATCACTTAACACATTAGCTCGCTTTCTCACCTTCACAATGCAGAGTACATTTCTGCTGCTTAACGCAGTGGGCAAAAGGTTTGTCACACTGAAGATCGTAGCATGAGCAGTTTTTTTGGAGCAAGTGGCTGCATTGGCTGCAGAGAAATGCTTATTGGTGTGAACAATATAGGCTCAGTGATTTGACTGCATGTCTGTGAAGGCGAGGGGATCAATTGA